TACGTTTAACTGGTATGTCGGTCCTTGGCAGTTGATACTGATGTACTCTAGGCAGAGTGGAAACTTGTGAAAGCGGGTTTGATGCTGATGGCTGTTATCGCAGGGTTGCTCTTGATGGGAGCCAGGTTATTTGTCACATGCCACCCGCAAAGACATACTGCGCCAACGCGACGTTTGGTGATGTGAAGCGCAGTATGACGCAGCACAAGTCTCTAGACCAAGACCACACCTCCCTTCTAGTCGTAAGTCCTATCTTACCCAAAATCATCATCCTCGATAGAAGAGCCCCTTCTCACAGCAATCACTCTACCTACGTATGCTAACCCAATACCACAGTTCGGCAAAGGCGACGGCGGCGGCGGCCCAACCCGTCCCCAACTCGAATCCCTCCGCCGCCTGCGCGGCCTCGCCGACACAACGGGCCTCCTCCCGCGCGTCCACTCCGGCGGCACCCCAGACGACTTCTTTGACCGCCTCGAGAAGAAGGCGCATACGTTCCCCACGTGGCACGGCGAGCTGTACTTTGAGCTGCATCGCGGGGTGTACACCACGCAGGCGCAGACGAAGCTGAATAACAGAAAGGCGGAGATTCTCTTAAGGGATGTGGAGCTGTTGGCGACGATTGCGTCTGTGGAGGATAGGGGGTATAGGTACCCCAAGAAGGAGTTGGATGAGATGTGGGAGGGGGTGCTGCTTTGTCAGTTTCACGATTGCCTTCCTGGGACCGCTATTGGGATGTGCTATGATGATTCGGATAAGGTAAGTCTGCTTGTTGTTCTTTGTATGAGCGGCGGAGAGAGTGGCTTACGGGTGTGCAGGTTTATGCGAATGTTTTCAGCATCGGCAGCACGCTGTTGAGAGACATTTACAGCGTTCTCAAGATCGACGACATCAGCGAGACCCCAACCGAATCCGAGAGACTGGTAGCCCTCAACACTCTAGGATGGCCTCGACAAGAGGTCCTCACCATCAACGGCAAAGACTTCATCGCCAACGGCACCGGAACCCTCATCGCCACCCGAGAAATCACCCAACCAGAAACCACCAAGCCCCTCGTAACAGTTCAAGAAGTCTCTGAAGGCATCTTCGTCCTCGAAAACAGCCACTTCACAGTAACAGTCGAATCCGGCACAATCACCTCCCTCCTCGACCGCCGCGCCGCCAACCGCGAGGTTCTAGCCCCCGGCAGCGGCAGGGCGAACCAGTTTGTCATTTTTGACGATAAGCCGATTTACTGGCAGGCGTGGGACGTGGAGGTGTTCCACCTCGAGACGCGGGAGGAGGTGCGCGGCGGGCGGACGAGTGTGCTGGAGGCGTCGCCTTTGAGGGTTAGTGTTGTTACGGAGACGCGGATTAGTGAGGTCAGTTCTGTGAGGACGGTGATTAGTCTTGCTGCGGTGGTTGATGAGAGCGCGAGTGCGGGTGTGGGCGTGGAGTGTACTGCGGAAGTCGACTGGCATGAGACGATGAAGTTTCTCAAGGTCGAGTTCCCGGTCGATGTGCGGCATCATGAAGCGTCGTACGATACGCAGTTTGGGGTTATTCGGCGGCCGACGCACTACAACACGTCGTAAGTCGTCCTCTTTGCGACGTAGAGCTCGATGGCGGAACGTGTTTGCTGACTACAGGTACGATAGCTGGGACATGGCCAAGTTCGAAGTCTGCTGCCACAAGTACGCGGACCTCTCGGAGTACGGGTACGGCGTGTCGATCCTCAATGACAGCAAATACGGCTTCGCGACCGTCGGCAACACGATGAGGCTGTCGCTCCTGCGGTCGTCCAAGGCGCCTGATGATAACGCCGACATGGGGCGGCACACGATCCGGTGGGCGATTTTGCCTCACCGGGGTCCGTTGGGGCCGGAGACTGTGAGGGCGGCGTATGAGTTTAATAATCCGCTCAAGGTCGTCTCTGCGTCTGCGGGTTCCCCTTTGTTGGAGGCGGGAGGTAGTGCTGGAGGGTTCCCGGTTGCGTTGACGGGGGATGAGAATCTAGTGCTGGATACGGTGAAGCGCGGCGAGGATGATGAGGATGTCGGGGATGGCGAGTTGCCTGTCCGTGGTGGGCGGAGCGTGATTGTGCGGGTGTATGAGAGTTTGGGGGGACGCGGACGAGGGAGGGTGGCGACGAAGTGGGCTGTGAAGAGTGTGTATAAGACGAATCTGCTGGAGGACGACGAGGAGGATGTTCGTGTTGAGGATGGCGGGTTCGAGGTTGACCTTGGGCCGTTTCAACTGCAGACGTATCGACTTCAGTTGGTGGATTAGATGAGGCGTAGATGTTGCGATAGACCTCTTGAGAGTATTACTGTTTTCTGTCATTTGAGGTCATTCTCTGAATCACATGTTGATGCGTTGGGTCATTCGCCGTGCTCACTGCCGGTGAGAGCATCTGAGCTGTAGAGCCCTCTATTTGAGAGAGCAATGCAGGCAATATGAGTTGGAGATGGATGCTTGTTTCTGCCCATCAAGATTGGCCTCGAGGTTAGGTATGCTGGCCTTCAGGTGGGTGGCTCAAGAGTACGGTGTGATTCCGAAGCTGGGCAACGAATGGTTGGGCTCGTATGGATTGTGTTCTGGCGCTCTTGGTAGGCCTCGGACGGTGAGGGTGTAAATTACTCGAGTCTTAATGAATGAGATGAAGTGGCTGTTTGATTAGGATATATGAGTATTGGGATGGCCAAGTCGGCGGTGATGTATTGTCACTTCAAAAGCCCAACATTGGCTGGTGATGTGGTTGTATGCCACATACGTGAGCTTCCGCACGGCAGATGATGAGACCCAGCGTGGGATAATAACTGATTCATGAGAAAGTAGATGTTGAATGAGAAACATTGAAGAAAGGCAAGAAGTCGTGATGAAGGCTGCAAAGGTCAAGGTGTGCAGCCATGGTGACACAAGCGCAGCCCAATAGTGTCCCCTGGCTGACCTCGGTACTGGCAAATGCCTAGAACAAGTAACAGAAGAAACCCCACTCAAGGAAGGCCAGAGAAGCTTACGCCAAGAGGCTGCATGGTGGGCAAACCTTGAACACTTGCATGTTTGTTTGTTTGTTGCAGTAGTAAGATGTGAAGTAGGGTGCAGAGGGAGTTGAAACAAGGCGGTGGTGCGGCCCGGGTGTGTGGCACGGGGATCTGGCACCTACTTAGCCGTAGGTATCCGTAGACCTAGAACTAGAGCTAGGCCTAGGCCCAGGCCTACTGCGAAGACCCGGACCTAAAGCCGTGGGCGCGGATTACGGTATACAATCGTTAGCCCAGGGACCATAGGCGGCCATGGCCATGCTGTGTCACGTCCACCCCCGAATCGACGGTGGGACGCGGGTAGGTGCTTGAAGAATTTAGTTGGGGTTGTTTGTTAATTAATTTACTCGTCAGTATGGTGGTACAGAGTGGTCGTCAGATGTTGAAGTTAAAGTTGAAGTTGACAACTCCATCAACTTAACCTGTAACACGAACCCAACTAGCAATGGCCAGTACAGGATCCCGCCAGCGACGATGAAGCCTGGCTTTCAGAGACAACAAGGTACCTGTCAGTTGGAACTTGGAAGCGCCTTGAACGAGACTCAACAGGGCAAGAGTTGCGAAGTGTTTGTTGGAAGGTGGGAGTTACAATTCACGGGTTGGTTCGTCTGCGCCTCAGTGTTGGTTGGGTGCTTAACTTGAGCACTCGCTTCCCTCGTTATCGTCAAAACCCACTACTGGAAATGAAATCGTTGACAAGTTGTGACCAACAGCATATGACCCCGGCCAAGGTGTGACCCCAGCAGGCGGTTGCGGAAGTCCAACCACCGAATCCGTCACTTTAGCGGTTGGAATGGCGTTGGAACAGGAGCGGGACCACACCACAATACATCTGCATCGCAACAAACAAGCAAACAAGCAAACAACGTTGAACCAACGCCCATCAGTCAGGTTTGTATGACTACAGAGTACCTAGATCCCATTGATATCTCATCAGCCGTTCCCCCCGGCGTGTCAGAAGCTGGAAGTCACTGAGGTGATAAAATCAGCCTCCCCTCTCTCTCTCTCTCTCTCTCTCTCTCTCACTCTCCTGTCTTCTCTTCTCTCACTCTCCCGCGCCCGCTGCGAGAAAAAAATGCAAGAATGAGCCCACGCATGCGGCGTAGCACCAATCACGTCCAGCCCGGGGAGAGCGGAAGAGAGGGGGGGAGACCGGGGGGGGAAGGGTTTCTGGTCCCCTCTCCCAACAGTGGCTGGGCACTGCACCAACCGTTCCCCTCCCCTCTCTTGCTCTGCTTTCCCCCCCTGGGTACCGCGAAAAAAGACTGCCAGATATACCCTGGTTCCAACAGAGTTCCAGCAGCGACCAACTGGTGGGGAGGGACGGGGGGCCTCTTTTGGTCAGCGGGGAGTCTTTAGGTCACTTTTTGACGGCCAACAGTAGAAAGGAGTACCTATCACCCTAGGTACCTGAGGTAGGTGATGTGAAGCGGCCAGCCAGAAGGAGAGCCCACCCCAACCGTACTCAGGTCCGTAGGCAAATGCACCCATACGGTGCCAGGTAAGGTACCTTGCCAAAGGACTTAGGACTCGGAGAAGGGAAACTAAAGGGGGGGGGGGGGGGGGGGAGGGGGAGAGGGGGGGGAAGGGCAACCCACACAACAGACGACCGCCCCCCACCCCCTGCACGCCACGCCCACCGGCGCGAAGAGGGGGGGAAAGGGGGAGAGGGGAAGGGGGGGGGGGGGGGGGGGGGGGGGGGGGGGGGGGGGGGGGGGGGGGGGGAAGACGAAGACGAAGACGAAGGGGAAAGTGGGAGGAGCACGAACAAGGCTCAGACTTTTGAGACATAAACCCAACCTCTCTCTCTCTTTCTCTCTCTCTCTCCCTTTCCCTTCAATCTCTGCCAACTGGGTCTCGTCCGCCTCTGCAACTCAACCTTTATGCCGCCATCGCGCGCGCAGCACACCTCGCACTTCATTTCCTATACTTTGTTCATTTTCCGTCGGGCTTCCCCGGCCGAGGGCGTGCGCGACAATGTCCGACGCCAGCGGCTCCGGCCACGCGGAGGCCAGTCAGGACGAGGACGCTCTGCCCACCCTCACCCTCGAGCAGACCATGGCGTTGCTGATTCAGGATTTCGTCCATGGCAGAGCACAACTGCCGCCGCCGCTGTCGCTTCCTCTGCCGCCGCCGCCGCCCTTGCCTGCAACCGTTCATGACACGGCGACGGCGGGCAACGTTGCGCCGGGGGTCCCAGCCGTGAGCGACGCCGCTGCTTCTGATCGCGACTCACTTCACGAGACCGAGGCTGCGGATACCGCCGACGAGAACGACCATGAGAACGAGAACAACGTTGCGTCTGACAACGAATCCGAAATTTCCATCGATGCTCCCGCGGCGCCGCCGGTATGTCATCTTCTCTTCACCTTACTTACAACTGTTTCCCCGCGTGTCATGCCGTGCTGTGCCGCCTGCTGACCTTTTTCTCTTCGTCAACGTTCAAGGCCACCGGCCCTTTTGTTGGCTTCGTTCCTTCATTGCATTCCATCACCCCGGAATATGCCACAACGTTGTTCATAGAAGAAAATGGCCGGACGTACAACAGTGCACGAGACCAGCGTAAGTGGTGACCACATACTAACCGTATACATGCCTCATCCAATGACTAACTCATTCTTCGCAGAATATCCCCTACCCAATGATCTTGTTTGTTTTCACCTCTCTACCGCCCTTTTGGCCTTTTGAGGTAATCACCGTCAACTAATGTCTTTCTCTTTATCCCTAAATAGAAGGAGCAGGACCGTTTAGGTAAGTTTGGCTCATCAAGACCCTCGGTCTCGTCTTCCGTCCGTTTTGGGCTCAACTCATCCCCCCCCCCCCCCTTTAGATTTGCAACATCAGTGCTGGCTACGAACGTCAGGCGAGATGCTCTGCTTTTGTCCCAAACGGAAGCGCGCCAGGAGAGTACTCGATGTTGGAACGGGTACTGGCGTCTGGGCCATTGCGTTTGGTGAGTGCATGCTGTGAAAGCTTCCATGTACCTTGAGCACATTTGATCACAACCCACTAACTCAATCGCCAGCCGATATGCGCGCCGAAGCTGAGGTACGTATGAGCAAGCGAATGGGTGGATGGCCCATCTTCTCACTATCGAGTATCTTGGCTGACTTTGTATCTTTTTAACGGAAAACAGGTGATTGGTGTCGACATTAGTCCCATTCAACCTCACAGGTAAGTTTTTGATTCTGCCTGGCCGAGAAACAGCGAACGCGTGCATTGGAAGAGACATGCTGACATGCCATGCTTGTGAAAAGTGTCCCCGCCAACTGCAGCTTCGAAATCGACGACGTAGAGAGGGAGTGGGTGTGGCCCGACTATTTTGACTTTATCTTTGTCCGACACATGAATGCATGTTTCGCAAGCTGGCCCGACTTCCTCGCGCGCGCCTTCAAGTGAGCACGCAAACTCATGACTCTCTTTCCAAACTGCGGCACACTAATCACAGTCTCCAGCCACCTTGAGCCAGGCGGCTTCATCGAGCTCCACGACAACGCTTTCCCCATCATCTGCCCCGACAACACCATGCCCCCGACCAGCGCCATCGCTCGGTGGTCCGCCATGCTGATGGAGGCCACGTCGGCCATTGGCCGTCCCATTGACGCGCCCCGTCACTTCAAGGCGATGCTCGAGGAGGCCGGCTTCGAGGCCGTGGTCGAGAAGAAGCGGGTCTGGCCCGTGAGCCCCTGGTCCTGGGACCCCAAGATGCGCGCCCTGGGCTGGTGGGTGCAGGCCGGCAGCCTCGCGGGCCTCGAGGCCTCGATCCTCAAGCTGGGGACGGGCGTGCTGGGATGGAGTCGTTCCGAGGTAGTCGAATTTTGCGAAGAGGTCAAGACCGAGTTGAGGGAGGCCAGGGTGCATGGTTACTGGGAGGTGTACGTTTTGTTTCCCCCTTTCATTTTCGCCCTCTTAGCTTTACCGCGGGTTTTGCGTTCTTGGCTGACTCTTCCACTGTGGTAGATATTTCGTGTACGGGCAGAAACCGTTTCACGCCGTGTGACGGCAGACGTCTTTTCTTCTTTTCCTACTCTGTAATCACGGGGAGAAGCACCGCGAGATGCTGCTTCACCTAAGGTAGCTGGGAAAGCGAGGCTCATTTTACTCTGCGCCAGGGATCAGATCCACGTTTCTCAGACTTTGGTCAACCGGTAGACGGACGGTCCTCTTGTCTTTTTTTTTTTTTTTACTGTTTTATGCTTCCTCGATTACGGAGAACTTGGAGTTGGGCGGTCTTTTTTTTTTTCTTTTTCTTTTTTTGGGTTTTTTGGGTTTTTTTCTTTTTTTTTTTTTGCAACTTGATGATACCCCCAACCAATTACATAGCGTCGCGATGAGATCGACTTTGATTTCTAAAACTTCCAACATAAACAAACTTGCCTCTTTACATGCGCAAGCTACGCAAGGCATCACCGTCATACAGCTAATCAGGGAGATCTATATGTCTTGATCTTCTTTTCGTTCGTCCCATTTGAGCCGCTCTGCTGGCGTGAGATTGTTGGAAACATTCATCAAAGTTCCAACAGTTCCCAGGAAATGAGATCTATTCTTGGTGTTGGGAGGTACTTTTACCCAAGGGGGGAGGGGGGGACCGCAAACTAAGGCCCGGGACTCCCTCCCAGCCGCCTCCCGCTCGCCGCCCCAAACGAGACAGACGGGAACAGGTATGCTAAAATACTCTGTATCTGTACCACTAAAGTATACACCAATGGAGAGGGGGAAAAAAACCCACAATCTTCCGTAGCGCTTAAGCGATGACGCCAATGGAGGACAGAAAACGGTCGGCGTGAACTCCGTACTGCGTACATGCAGGACCAGGTCAGGTACCTAAGTAGGTAAGTGAGCGGCAGGAACACTGAACGGATGGGCCGCCGTGTCACCGCCTCGCGGCCGAATCGCAGCAAAAAGGGCTGGGCTAAGCTTGAGGGCCGGGGGAAGCGGTAGCGTGGGTATCCGTAGTGTTAGTTGTGTATGTTGCATCTGCATGCATGCCGAAGCAAAAAGACCCTAGTCCAATCACACCATCGGGTTTGTTGTTCTCTTCGATATCTGGCTTGCTGGGGCGGCCGATTCCCGCACACACGCCGAGCCAATATCGCCAACCAACCAGGCGTGCCAGGCTAAGGAGGTAAGGTAGCGGGGCTTTCTTGGTGGATGTCATGTTATCCGCGCGAGTGTATCCGTACCTTAGCGTACCTTGGAGAGGGGACTGGGACTTATCATAGTACCTCATGGAGAAGCGGAAACCAAGAGGAGAAGGAGGAGATGGATGAGGGGGTTCGTTGGGCATGGGTAGGAGGCACATTTCAGCTTGGGTAAGCAATCCCATTTCCAATGGGATTTAAAGGGTAGATTGATGGCCGCGGCCAGCTTCTCTTTCTACTTTCCCACCCCACCCTTCCTCTCTCCCTCCCTGCTTCTCTCTCTCTCTTCGGCCTCATGCTTTTCTTTTGATCCCTCTCGCTCTGGAGTAACTCGGCAAGCCACGGGCACGAAATCGGACAAAGCGTACAAGGTGACTGAGAGCAGGAATTCCGCACTCTCGGATCCGCCAAGGGGTCAAGACAGAGTCAGTTGTGCAGAGATGGCCGATAGCGTCGATACGCGAGAGGCCAGCGCGCCGGCAGAACAAACCCCTCACGTTGCTGCGCCTGCTCAGCCGCACGTCGTGCCTTCTCATTATCCTCCTCAAGAAGTCGAAGCCGTACGTCCCTGTTCTTAATTTTTCTTCATCTCATTTTTTTTTCAACCCCCCCCCCCCCCTTATTCCCCTATTGTATTCTTGCCAAATATACTTTTTTTCCTGATCATGTTTGGAGGCTTACAATGAAAAATAATAGGAACCTCATGATCCTCGCTACGATGATGACACTTGGAGTGAAGAAGTTCGTTGACACGTCCTCTCCGTCTGGTTTTGAAAAGCTTGAGACTAACTTCCTTTTCTCTTTTTCTCTGTCGTAGTCCAGGGCAAGCTCCCTGAGCTCACTACGGTCGAGCATTCGCCAGTATCGGAAAGAGAATGGGCGGAGGTACCACGCTCTCAGCGATGGAAGTGAGTTCTTATATATATATGTATTCCGGAATTGATGAGAAGATTCCGATGATGATGGCACGTAATCCCATTCGGGTCGGTATTTGTTGAACTGACTTGGCTTGGGTTCATAGCTTATATCCTGCCCAACGACGAGGTTTGTCCAAACCCCTCCCTCTCCGCCTCTCCTCTTCTCTGCTGTGAGGAATTATCCTTACGGGAAAACTTCCACCTACCTACCCAACCTTCAGCTAACAATCCGGCCCTACAGCTAGAACAAGATCGCCTAGGCAAGTCAAGGGTCACTCAAGCAAAAAGGACGACTGACGCAGGTAACTAATAAACAAGCGCCAACAAACAGACCTCACACATCACCTTTGGCGCTTGACGTTTGACGGCAAGTTGTGCATGTGCCCAAAGGTCATGGGCGCCAAGGCGGTCCTGGATATCGGAACCGGGACTGGCATTTGGGCGATAGACTACGGTACGGAAAGCCTTTCATCGTTATGTTGGATGTACTGACATCTTCTTGCAGCCGAATCGCATCCCTCAGCAACCGTATGAGCTCCTCCCCTTCTCATTAATGGATATTCTCTATGAGTGTTGAGTACACAATGTGTGAACAACACCGGAGCTGACTTTTCTCTTTTCCTTGACGCAGGTTGTTGGCGTCGATTTGAGTCCTATTCAACCTGGTTTGTACGTCTTTGTCTTCTGGCCCCTTGGTTTTGCGACCCCCCCCCCCCCCTCCAACCCCCTCCACGCGAGTTTTGGCTGATGAGAGGCGTGGTGGATCTCCAGCGTCCCCCCAAATTGCAGTTTCGAAGTCGACGATATCGAAAAGGACTGGACATGGTCCACGAAATTCGACTTCATTCACATCCGACACATGAACTCGGCTATCGCGGATTGGGAAAGGCTTCTCAGACAAGCCTATGAGTGAGCTGTTCCCCCTCCCTCCCTCCTATTCTACTCACATGCACACGTACGCACCCGCGCATCAACTCAAGCTACCTACCCACTCAACCACACATACGCGTATACATCCCAGACCCTCGCAGCACGCAAGAAAAGGCTAACTCCCAGGTTCTCTTTCCCCACCCTCCCAGCAACCTCGAACCAGGAGGCTACGTCGAAATGACGGACAACTGCTTCCCCCTCCAATGCCAAGACGGCACAATGGACCCCAAGTCCCCCGTGGCCGAGTGGTCGACCCTCCTCATGGAGGCCTGCGACCGCATGGGCCGTCCCGTCACCGTCCCCGCGCTCTTCAAGAACCTGCTCCTCCGCGCCGGCTTCGTCGACGTGGTCGAGGCCCACCGCATCTGGCCGCTGCACGACTGGCCCAAGAACGACCACCTCAAGGAGATTGGGCGCTATTCGCAGGAAAGCAGCCTGCAGGGGTGCGAGGCGTCGGCGCTGGCGCTCTTCACGCGCGTACTGGGGTGGACGCGCGACGAGACGTTGGTGTTTTGCAGCGGGGTGAGGAAGGATTTGCATAATCGGAATATTCACGCGTACTGGGATATGTGAGTTCTCTCTCTCTCTCTCTCTCTCTCTCTCTGAAGATGACTGTTTCCCCCTCGCTTTGGAAATAAGGAAGTTTCTTTCACTGACTTTTCAACCTAGATACTGCGCTTTTGGTAGGAAGCCTTTTGATGAGCCGTCGTCTGAGTCGGAACCGGAATCGGAGCAATGATGTGGGCTCAGGCGAGAGATACGTATCTGTTAGTCACTCGATGAGGGACGGTTTCTCATTCAGAGACAACGTCAGAAAATGCTGAATCGTATTGCCCCTTTCCTTGGAAGAGGGCCTGCTAAAGAGAGGATTCCCGGCTGGGACAACTCTCTCTGCTACACCTAAGCGGCACGGACGTACGAAAAACATCACATGCCCGCTTAATTGGCGACCATCGCAGTCTCATGGCTGATATCGAGGATGTACATGCATACATGAAAGTCAATGAGATCAGCATAAATACCGTTTCGAGACTATAGAGACTCTGAGTCCTTGTGGATTATCTTCTTTCTCGCTCTTTATAATTCTTGAACTCTTCGCTTATTCACCACCGCCCTAGGATCCCGTGTCATCAACTGCAGAATCTCCCTAACCTTTCGATGTTGTTTTCCAAGTTGCATCATCATAATGCATTAGATGTCTTGATGAAGGTATAGAGGTCAACGCGGAATACATTCAGCATTCCCCTTTGTTCATTTTCGATCACCTCCGGTATACATCTTTCGAGATCCCACAGTAATTAGCCCGCAGTTTCCTAGTCTGTAGAGACTTCCTGAGCTCTCCCTGGATAGTCATCAACCTTATTGCATGACTCAATAGCCAGGCTGACTGTGCTGGCCCATGTTGGAGGGTCTGCACATTTGACGCGGCTGAAAGGCATCCTTGATTGTTCGATGTATATAGACTTTCGCGCAAAGGATGATCGTACTTGAGTCAATCTGAACACCAGGAAGTTCCCATGGCGGTTGACCAGAGTTGGTGTGGTGTTCATCGACAAGTTTATCAGCTTCGAGACGTGTTGGTATATACCTTCCAAGATAACCAAATGAAAAGCGGGCAGTGCACCGCCTTTTATTGCTGGCTACTATCCTTTTATTGCCGGATTTATTCAGTTGATTCAATGTTGCCTCTGATATCTAGTCCAGTCTCCCTCACGAGTACTGATAATTCATAAACGTCTCGCAGTACGCCAACATCTTGTTGCCCAAAATCTAACTTTGTAGCTTGCCTAATTATTATTCGTGTACGATATTTTTCTTGTAGGAACAGGCTGAATAACCATTTTCAGTTAATCGTATAGTCAGATATGCATCTGAGTACGTTGCTCGTCCCATTGTGCCGCTCTAGATTTGGAATCCGATCGAACTTCAGGTAGCGCAACACCCAAGCGAGTCGAGTTCTTTTAAGAAGGTACTTCGTCAGACTCACAGATAAGTCTTTGCATGCTGAATAAATCCGCCGCTTGAACGACAAACAAAGCTTCCACCGAGAAGAAATGCGAATTGCTTTGAGAACAGAAACCTCGACTCCTTACCAAAGCGAAAGACTTCTACCCAACCCATCAGAAACAAATAGCACCCGACCACCATAATTCGCCACCAAACGCTTCACCCCCTCTCCATCCCAACACCCACAGGCTCAGCAGGCATCTCGTGCCTCGGCTCGCACGCCTCCACCTCGAACCGCTCGCGGCTGTGCGCCGGCAACTCCAGCTTCCACGCGGCGGCCTCGTCTTTGGCCCGCAGCTGCCGCTCGGCGTAGACGAGGATGTCGCCCTCCGTGTGGACGGCCATGTCCCGCCTCCTCTTGACGTACCTGCGGACCAGCCCCGCGAGGAGGACGAGGAGCATGAGGGCGCCGAGCGTCGCGCCGACGGCGATGCCCGCGACTGCGGTGCTTGAGAGTTGGTCTTCGTCCGTGGGGGTGGTGGTTGGTGTTTGTGCCGGGGAGGAGTCTGGGGTTGACGTTGGGGTTGCTGATGCGAGGGCGAGGGCTGTTGTTGTGGCTGTTGCGGATGATGTTGAGGTTGATGTGCTGTCGGGCTCGGTGATGTTGAAGTAGTGAGATGTCGCGCTGCTGCCCGACTGTCCCGTCTTGAAGAGTTGAAGGAAGTAGACCTGGCTCAGGTCTGGATTCATTGTTGAAGGAAAGCCTGCGTAGCCTACGGTCCAGACGAGGCTCTTCACCGTGGAATTGGCTTTGCAATGGTGTCAGACGCAACTCTGAGAAAGTATGTTGTCGTAGGGACTTACATGCGAGCTTGGCATAGGGCCCCTTGACATTTCCCGTGGGCTGCTGCTGCCACAAAATCAGGTCGATATTCTTGAGATCCATCTCCCACTGCAAGTCAATGTTGTCGCCGAGGGTGTAGACTGGGTTATCCCGGAAGTCTCCTGCCGGACCCGGGCCCGGTGGGCGGCGGAAGCGGTTCTCTGAGCGCGCACATGCCGGGAATACGACACCGAAGAGGAGCACTGCGAGAATGTGCATCACGAATGCCGGTGATGGTTTCTTGGTGATGTTCTTGTCGTCTATATCTGAGTGGACGGGCAGATGGACATTGGGCAATCGAGGAGAGTGGAAGCCACTCTGCCATGGGACACATTGTGTTTTTGCTCGATTCCTTTTCTTCCATTGCAAACCCGTTGCCCTGTCCCCCACCTCGATGTCGACTGTGCGCGATGGAGGGGTGAGGTTCTCATTTTAAACGTCCTAGCGACGGATCTAGTCAGCGTTGACCTAAACAGTAGTGCCGTTTCGGAGAGTCGAAACGTTGAAGCCTGGACGCCACTGAATCCGCCAGCTATTTGTGCACTGCCAAGACGGGCCAGTTTCGTTAGTAATTCGGAGAGATGCTTCAGAAGACGGCATAGGTAAAAGTAGAGTTCTATGTGGCTTAATGTTGGTTTCGAGACGTGCTGGAGAGGCTTGTGGTGTTGTGATGCATCGATGGATTCAACAGGGTCAATCTCCGTGGGCTCAGCTATTTTGCGTCCAAAATTAAGCTGATTGGATAGCTACGATGGTGATCGACAGAATTAAATGACCCGATTGGCAAAAAAGCAAAAGATTACTCCTCGACGGGGAATTGAACCCCGGTCCCCTGCGAATCGTTGAATCTTCAATGACAAGCAGATATCCTCACCACTAGACTATCGGGGATTGGTGGATGTTGACATCCAGTGATAGTTGGTTGGAGGGGGAGCTGTCTAGCGGCTATATATACCCACTACAGAAGTTGCGCCCCCAACGGCGGGTCCCACTGTGCCCACGTCGATTTCCGGAAGATCTGCAATTTGCAAATAATTCCCAAAACTTATCCTTTGAAGAATTTGATTGACTAGGTATTCATCATCATGAGCGAGTAGCCCTCTGTTTTGGTGCGAATTGCACTATCCCAACATGAATACACCGGCGAAAAGCCCACCCATTCATTCTATGGGCGTCCCACTCAGTCGCCTCTCCGAAAGCGACATCTCTCCTTCTCATGCGTATCTCGATACCACTTCGTCGTTAAGACCCTGGTGCAACATTCGTTCCTGCACGGGTACCTCTGTCTCTTCTCGCGATTAAACGAGCACCCCTCGCGAAGGTGCTTGTTGCGGTTGCTCACACTTGAGAACGTCTTGGTGCATTGCGGTGTGAGACACTGGAGTCTATCGCCTCGGTTTCGGTGGTCGCGCGGCGTCGAGCGAGATGTCGTCGAACCTGCGGCGCTGCCGATGCTGCTGTTGAAGATATGAGCACGAGTCAACGTTGGGACCAGGTGGAAAGCGGCCTACCTTATGCTCGATGACGATACGTTCCGGCGGAGTTCAAGTGTGCTGAGCGACGAGAAGCTGCTCGACGGCGTGATACATGCGTCTGAGCCATGGGCTGGCGATTGTACTGTGAATGGTGGGGCAGAAAGCTGGCCAGTAGCTTGGCTGGAATGAACCGAGATGCCATGCATTCCAAGGTACTCTGCTAGTAGAGCACAGCAACGAAGATATCCCGGAGACGTAGTAGTGAAGGTCTCGGTGAAGGCATTTGCCGATCCAGAGTGCAAGCCTAAAGGAATGTTAGTATACGACTCTTAAGCAATGCGACGCTGCACTTACCCACGATCAGCGCAAGCACGATGGAGAAAGCCACCGAGAAGAGGAGCAGCATCGTGGTCGATGAGAGAACGTCTTCCCAGCCTCCATCAAATGATGACGAAGGAGCCGGCTGTCTGACAGTAGTTTCCTCAAAGCGTTCCATATGTAGAAAATCCGCCCACACCAGATCATCGCGTTGGGTCGATGAGCCGGCATAGGAGGCTTGCCCCGGTTGTGATCGGCCCGGTATCGTCTGGGCCTGAATACTACTGACTCCTACATGTGTTTCTTGGTCATCGAATGCCCTTTGTATAGCTGCAAGCCTAATTCCAGGCGATGAAATCCTTGACGGTATGGTCTCTTTGCGCTTCTCGAGTGAGATGAGGTTTTGAGCCAAGTCGTGGAAATGCGGCAGGTGTTCTGGGTCAAGTTGTGATGGTCTGTGACTTGACGGCGTGTATGCCCACATGCGGAATGCGAGCTCATCGAATAGGAGCTGCGATGATGCTGGTAGAATGGAGCGCCACCGGTCAAGGTCGTCAACAAACCTAAGTCAATGTTAGCTTTGGCATGCCTAGATGTAGGACCACGCATGAGGGTGCGCTCTTAGGCAGGGAATTGAGAGCAATGGCTTACTGTAGAGATAGGGAATCGTCACTTGAAAGCAACGTTAAATATGTGGCATTGGCCACCAGCAGTGCGTCGAAAACTTCCACGAGCGACGATGGCGGACTATCCTGCATCAGGCCACGGAACACACCAAGGCCACGATCCCAAACTGTATTAGAATGGACGTAGTCCCCAGCTAAGTCGCGAAGTTCTTCATGGTCCGAGCAGTCACAAGCCCCATGGAACTGAGAGCACAGTATCTCCATAGAAGAGACCAGGCTCTGCCCCAAGAGTCGCCGGCGGTGGCGAGAGCATCTCCGTCGGACTCGTTCTTTGGGGGCATCGGCCTCTCGATCGTGGCGGCGGCTACCTGGCACGCTGGTATGATTGGTATGATGGCTACTGGTCAGGCTTGGAATACCGTTCGGCTGAATTCCAGTACAGTTCAGGCCGGACGATACACGAGGCAATGCGGCGGTGGGAGTTGCCTCCATAATGCTCAAGCCTGCAAAACAGTCAAACGTGTCATCCGGAGCTGTCGACTGTGGAACGTCCATGAAGCCAAACGCCAGCATAATTTCCATAATCTGTGTATTCTCATCAGAGACCGCGATGGCGATTGCCTCTCGTAGCCCCTCGGGTAGGGGTGTTCGCAGCAGTATCGCGCGAACAATTTCGGCCTGCCCCCAGTAGACTGCCGCCGAAAAGGGTGTCAAGACTACAGGGTCTGTGCCGCCGCCCACCTCGTCGTCAGCGTAAACACCTAGAAAGGTGACCCCTTGCTGTAGAAGGTTCTCTGCTTGCGCAATGTGGCCAAGCCGTATGGCGACGTGAAGGGGGTCGTTGGTTATGTCTCGCAGGAACGGCCCGGGCTGGCTTGTGGATTTGTCTCTTGTTCGCGACGCCAGGTCTAAAACATAGCGATAGATGTCCAGTCGACCTCTGTCGAGCAATTCAAGGAGCAAGTCAGGATTTGTCTCCCACTCGACTTCACCAGTGCGGACAACAGGTTCGCATAGATCGTGTAAGGCAGTGAGATCACCAGCAAGGGCAAGCTCGGTAAACTTGGATGCTAAGGCTTCGAGGAACGCGTCATCCAGAACATCTGGGAGGAGACCTAGAGCGAAACAGGCGTCGAGGTCGTCCAAACCGGCATCTATGCTTCGTTGGTGCATGTCGTGAAGCTGACCGATAGATAGTATGCCACTCGATCGGTACACTTCAGTGCCGATTCCAGCGAATAGTGCTCTATCTAGGAGTAGGTCGCGGACGAGTAGACGAAGCTCGACTGTTGTAGGGTGCGATGGCGATACATTTTCCAGGTGGTGTAAGTAAGCCTTGAGAATTGCGTAGTTCTTCAACAGATCGGGTAGGTCGAAAGGAGAGGGCATAGCAATAGCGAGTGATTGTAGTAGTGTTAAGCTCTGGTATTCAATCTCTATGGTTTTGGAAAGGCGGCTCTTGGAGACGGTGAACGCTGGCTGAGATGTCGGAGAGGAGTAGAGAGGCAGATAGACCCCTGAGCCAGGCGAAACTGCTTGGAATACTTCCCCGCTGTCACGACGAAGTTATACCTAGAAGTCAGCCAGTCTGCTCCCGGGCATTCATGAAGTGCAACCCCAAGCGGGATGATAGCGACGCTGTGCCTGAGAACAGATCACAATTGTAGGATCAAATGTATACAAAATTGTTTTAGGAATTGAAAAGTAAGATTGAAAAACACTGCTACATATGGAACTTCATGATTCGAATCCTGATGAGACAAATGCATAGCGTACCTTTCAAACACTTCCGTGTAAGCGAAACACGGCGCATCATCGATAAAGTCATGGCTCATTGGCGGCCCATTCGATACGAAGCTACTATTAGGCCATGATAGAGCCGCTGGGTGAGATTTGAGATTCTCATCGATATCGGCCAGGCGGAGGTTCAGACCTAGAGATGACAGAGACGCCATCTTCACGGTCTAGGACAGCATTGGCGTCAGGCAGTGGAGGCAGAGGATCAGGAGTCGGGGATTGCGTAAAGGTCCTCGCGCCAAATCAATGGGTGAGAAATAACCTCATATGCCAGCTTTGAGATATGAGGAGTGTGGTGAGACGTAAGGGAAGCCCGCCATGAAGCTGGGCGGCTTGGTGTTGATGAAGGGATGCCTGGAAAGCGGCCCCGCGGATGAGGCTGACATGGTGCCCCGGAGGTGTGGTGGGTCCCCTGAATTTAGGAATCGGCGGCAGGTCACGCGCGGGGCGCCGTGGACGCTGTGACTGGGCACTAAACGTTGATTTGGAGTTGCCGGTGTGCGTCGGTATGCGCGTCGAGAAATGTGATGCCGTGCAGATACGCTGCTTCAGGGCATCGGTCGGCATTGATTCGCCGCAGCAGTTGACTTGTGTAGGCGACATTGTCTAGTGTGCTCTGCCTTGGCTGCCTCCATCGCGACATGTTGACGATTCCGACACCGACGTTAGGAATTGGTGCCCGCTACGATGTGTAGCACGCAAGGATGATGCATTCTAGGCAGACTTCTGCGCCATCATGCATATAAACCAGTTCACGGGACTTGTTTCTGAGGCAAGGAGGAAGCGAGATACCTAAGAAGAAGAGAATGGCATATTCGTAAGTACATCAAGACGACAGGAGACAAGGCACCTAGAGAACTTCATTCTCGAACTCGCCAACCGATACACTGGGATCCAGCGCTTACATAAGGCTCACGAGAAAAAGCTGACATAATCGAAACACTTTAGACGCCGGACCGTACAGACCCGCATGGCTGATTTCGGCTGCCTTTCATTGGCCAGCACCCGGTTAATTGAAATGCCCGACGACGCGACTCAACGCGTCTCCCCGGCGCCAGAACCCGTAGCAACATTTCCAACTTTCGTCTGCCCTCAACACCAAGCCCACGCAAGACTTTCCCATATCCACATGCTCACATAACGCCAACATGTTGCGACACGACTTCAACCGGATTGACCCCAAGAGGCGCAATGTCGTCGACCATCGCAAGAAGCAGTTTGCTTCCCCTGCCTACAAGGAACTCGAATATCCCCACAGACTCAACTTTTACACCGACGCGCCGACGGCCGACATTACTCTCGAACAATTCGAACAATGGGCCATTGACCGGCTAAGGGGTGCGTCTACCAGTCTTATCTCTGTCTCTCGCCGCCACTAACAACATTCTCAATCAGTCCTTGCCGAGTTGGAGGCCTGCGCGTTCCGCAACAAATCCCCCCAAGAAGTCGCGAACCACATGAAGCCGCTCCTCGACAAGTACCTCCCGCTCGAGTCCAACACCTCGCACTCGCCAAAGCTCTTCGCCCAGCGTCAAAAAGATCACTACAGTCACTTCATTCTCCGCTTAGCCTTTGCCCGAACTGAGGACCTCCGCCGTCGCTTTACTCGCGTGGAGACGATGCTTTTCCGCTTGCGATTCAACAGCGACGACATGAGCGAACGGGCGGCCTTTGTCGGTAGCCTGGATCTTGACTGGTGGGAAGCTGTTACGGATGATGAGAAGCGCGAGTACTCGTCCGAGCTGGCGGCCATGTCGCGCGGCTGGGGCAAGACGGCTTCGACAGAAGACGACACATGGTTCAAGGTTGACTGGGCCCGGGTCCCGGAATTGGTGGAGCAGCGCAAGGTGTTCTTGAAGGCAGGCAAGGCGTTTGTACCAGGGAGAGAACAGGCCAGCATGGTGAACGGAGAGTTCGTCTCGCGGTTGGAGAGACAACTAGAGGTAGGCTCACGACACGGCCACAGTGTCTGGTGAATACTGACGCTGAACAGCTTACCGCACGCGCTCTTCCCCGACTCGACGAAGACGACCGTCTGACCCCGATCCTCGACCACCTCTCCAAGAACTTCATCACACCAGACAGCTCATACAGCTCAAATACCGGCGCCCCGCTCGGCGCCGAGATCACCGCCCGTAACATTGACAACCTCTCACAACACTTCCCCGCCTGCATGTCGCACCTCCACCGCTCACTGCGCCGTGACGCTCACCTCAAGCACTTTGGCCGCCTGCAATACTCTCTTTTCCTCAAGGGCATCGGCCTGAACCTCGAAGAGTGCCTTGTCTTCTGGAGGCAGAGCTTCCGTAACATCACAGACGACACATTCAACAAGGAGTATCGTTACAACGTGCGTCACGTGTACGGCGACGTCGGCGGCGACTCGAACCGTCGCGGAGGTGGCTACAGCCCGTTCAGCTGTCAGAAGATCCTGACCGAGCACCCGCCGGGCTCGGGCGAGGCCCACGGCTGCCCCTACCGCCACTTCAACTTGGAGAACCTGACCACGCTGATGCAAGGCATGGGTGTGAGCGACCGAGCCACATTGCAGGGCGTCAAGGAGGATAAGGAGAACCAAAAGTTCCATATGGCGTGTAATCGGTACGTCTCAATGCTCCGTTTTGTTTTCTACCGTTTTTGGAGACCATTGACTAACATGCCTCCAGCGTTTTCGAGCACTTGCACAAGCAGGAACTTAAAAAGGCAAAGGACGAGGGCGTGTTCACGTCTGCACAACTCGAGACAATCGTCCATCCCAACGAGTACTTTAAGCGCAGCTACCTCCTCAAGAACCTCGACAAGGCGACAGATGTCAAGATGGAGGGGTGAGCGTAGCCTGATGCCTCACAGTAATAGTACGGATATGCCTTGTGACTCACGACAGAGTCTCCTACGGCCAGTGGTTCGAGAGTTTTCTCTCGAGGCAGAGACTTAGCTCGAGCAAGCGTACAGCTAAGCTTTTCTGCCACAAGGCTTGTGTTGATAAGCTCGCCGACGGAACATACCTGGGGGCGGGAAGCGGCTGCCTCACTAACGAAGCGTGTGGCTTGATGAAAGAGATGGGTTCCACGACGGTCTGGACCCTGTTGCCAGCGAAATGCTGCAGCAGAGAGTGTCGGAGTAGGAGGGCGTTGGATAACGATGGCAAATGTCTTTTCGCGAAACTACCTTGTGGCGATAAATCGGCGTTTATTCTACTTTAATTTTTTGATGAAGGATTGGGTAGGGTTCGCGAACGCGCGGGCGGGAGGGAAACTTGATGTCATGGTTTAGGTTCGTTTCTTGCGGAAAGTGTAGTTCGAGGACAGCAGAAAGGAAGAGCCATCCGAAGTATTCCTTGTCTCTGAGTGAAAGGCTTGACATCTCCCACGTGTCCCGCCGTGTCTCGTTTCAAAAAGGAGACGGTGAAGCAGATGGAGGGAGAAAGCCCAAAGCTGGCCAATGTTTCCGCCTTGATCGGAACCAGAGAGACCGACGAAGGAAGCTCTCCGTCGGGAACAACCCATCGGTCTCATTCCCGTTCTCCTTGTCAAGATCAAGCTCCCTTTCCTCCCTCCCGTCTCTTGCCTTTGTCTTTTGCTCTCGGCTCGCTCGGTGACTTGACGGAAGTTTGAGGTTTGAACGATCACGATCGGACTAATACTAGACTCGCGGACCATACCGTGGTGGATTTACTGGGGTTGAGAAGGGCGGAAAATGACTAAAAAACGGGACCGTTTGTGTTTGGTTTCTGCCTTTCAACTCTTTTCCGGGGGGGGACTGACAAACAAAGAAAGGTTATGGACCTTGGGGTTGGATTGTGTCAGAGAGAGACATACAGAGACTACCTAGGTCTAGATTCAGGTCGACTCTGCGGAAGTTCCCCTTCTACACTACCTAAAGCATCACTCGACCAACATGCAGTGCTCTTTAGTAGGGAGCCAGGGAGAAGAAACAAGCCTTTTGCTGCGAGCTGCGAGTTTAATTGGAATAGCCTTCATGAAGCTGGGTAAGGGTAAGTCTTCAGAGAAGGGGCGTGCGAGCGTGCATGCGGGCAGACGGTCTTGTCTGTTCCTGTCCGTCCGTCTGGCTGGAAGTGGTTATCTAATGGAAGCCCCGGATGCCACGGCACTCTCGGGCATCACGAGATGCGGACTTGCTCGAGAATCCGCGGCGTCTGGTGACAGTTTTATGGTTTCTTTAGCATGTTGCCATGCAAGATCATCGCAGATCCCGAAGCAGCTGGCGCGGAGCCGGGTGCTTTTCGGTCGTGCACGCGGGAGCGCTTGCAGGTCGAATCAACCCGATGTGAACATCTCTTCTCAATTCTCTTGCTCGCTTGTCATTTGCTCGGGAGGCTTCAGGGATGTGTTTGCGATGACTCTCTATTATCCCCGATGGCTGTTTACTGGCACGAAACGTGTGATCACCCGCTTGGACTATGGTTGCCCTCTGCCTCGGATCTCCGTCTGGTCTCTCCGTATGGTATCGTGAGGCCTCCCCTGCAAGTGGGCAGAATTTGGTGGACGAGACCAGACTCACAGAGTCCGGGCTGGAGCTGGGGCGATAGGGCTACCCACGGCTTTTGCGGGAGGTGACATTCTGTCTGGAGACCATTTGATGATAATTAGACATGACTCTCAATGACATTCCGCTGCAAGTTTGGTCCTGGACTCCTGGTGCGACCACAGAATCCAACGCAGTAACGCAGCATTAAAACAGAGTTTCTGCTTTGCATGTGGACCGGTCCAGAACGCTTCCCCCGACCTCTGGCCCCTGGTCTGGCCGTAGAGCGGTCTAGACCACCTCTCTTTCTGTCCCCTCGAGGCCTCAATCCTCGTCAAACACCCTGGGCTGGCGAACCGTTACACAGGAGCAGGAGCTTGTCTGGACTGGGGGGATGAGCTTGGTTGCTGGCTTCCTGCCAGGGCTGTAAACTCGCTCCTCCAGGGTCCGGAACGCGAAAGATGCGCTCGGAAACCGGTTGCTGCTGTGTATTTCGCATGTCGAGCCAAGGGGCCCTGGGCATGGAATGAAAAGCCGGGTTTTGACGGCGAGGGAGTGAGCATGCAGGGCACGATCCTCGCTCCGACTGTAGAGATGTTCATCCGTCCCATCTGAAGGCTGAAGCCGAAGAGATTCCAGACTCCTCATGTTCGCGATGCCGAGGGAGGGGTCT